ATATTTTCAAGTTCATTCAAACAATTTTCTTAACTCCAATTTTAATAAGACATACACTACTTTTTGTACCCTTATTTTACATGCAAGAGGCTATTATTGGTTATCATTATTTATTAACCTCCAGCACTGTGTTTGTCTCTTTACAGACCACAGGGAATGAGGCAGCTCCTGCCTAAATAGATAAGCAAAATTATTCAGACACAAAGGGGCAAATCCTTCCCATAGCACCTAGACAGAGTAACTCTGCTGGGCCCTGGGAACTCTGTTGAGAGAAAGAGAGAGGAATTTTCCACCAACTCCTTCAAGCCATGAAGCAGTCACAAGATTGTTTTGCAGGGGTTGATTCAAGAATTAAAAGTAGCTGAGCCACTAAGTAATAGTGGCCATAGCATTATTATGTTCAACATCCTAATGGGAAATAAGATACCAAAAAGTGACACTAAACTTGATAAAGGGAGACTTTAATAAAATGAAGAGACTAGTCAAAAAGGCCCTAGAGTCAAAAGTAAATGAAGTAAAATCCTTACAGGTGGCATAGACGCTACCTAAGAAGACAATAACTGATTCCTACAAGGCATGTGTACCACTGAACAAAAACAAAGTCAGGAAGCAAGATGTAAACCAGTCTGCCTAGATGGCAAATTTTGAGAGGTTATTTGAGCCAAATAGATTTCAAAATCTAACCCCAGTGAAACCAATAAACAGCAGGCAATATGTAAAAGGGAAATTAAGAGGGATAAGATGGATTTTGAAGAACAAATGGATATAAAAACAAACATGAAATTATTTTAATAGATATTTTAATAGATAGGAAGCCTGGGAAATAAACTCACTGGGTTCACTAGATCACCAAGGGAGAAATTAAGGAATAAAAGAACATTGCTCACAAGCTAAATGATTTATTTGTATCCGTCTCCACCACAAAGGATGTTAGGGGATATACCAATACTACACGTTTCTGGTCATAAAAAATGAGGTACTATCACAGATTGAGAAGTCAGAAGAAATTGATAGAGCTAATTGATAATTTAAAAAGTAATAAGTCACCAGACCCAGATGCTATAAATCTAAGAGTTCTGAAGGAGATTATGTATGAAGTGGCTGAGCAACTAACAAAAATATGCCATCTCTCATTAAAAACAGCTATGATGCTGGAGGATTTGAAGGTAGCAGATCTTGTAACTATAGTTTTAAAAGGCTCCGGGGTGATCTGGGCAATTACAAACTAGTAAACCTTTTACAGTATCTGTACCTGGCAAACTGGTTAAAACTGAAATAAAAATAGTGTAATAAAATGCCAGGACTGTTAGATCGTGATATATCCGAGTATAACCAGCCCAGGTTCTGTAAAGGAAAATCATGTCTCACGAATTTCTTAGGATTTGTTGTACTTGTTGATGAAATAAAGGATACAAGAGAACCAGCTGACATAATTTATTTGGATTATAAATAGGCCATTGGCAAAGCCTCTCACAAGAGGCTACTAAAGAAACTAATAGTCATGGGGTGAGAAACAATATATTGTTATGAATCAGAAATTGATTAAGAGACAGGAAACAGAGTAGGAATAAAAGGGCAATTTTCGTCATGGCATATGGGTAGCAGTGGGGCACCTAAAGGAACCATGGTAGATCAGTGGTTGCTGAATATATCTATTAATTCTCTGAAAGGGTGAGTGAGCAGTAAGGTGGTAAAATTTTGAGGTGACACAAAGTTATTTAGGTTAGTCATGTCCAGGAACTTCAGAGGGACAAAACGAAACTAAGGGAATGGGCAGCATGATGACCGATGAAGTTCAGAGTTGATAAATGCAAAGTAATGCACATTAGAGAGAAAAATCTGAACTACTCACAAACCTGACATATCTTGGTGAAGACCTCTGCTCAGTGTGCAGCTATAGTCAAAAAGAGTAAATGAGATGTTAAGAATGGGATGGAAAATAATACAGAAAATATGATAATTCCATTATAAATCAATAGTTCAGACCTATACAGAATAGTGAACTGATAACTCTTTGCTAAAAGGATCCAAAATGAAAGGGGGTTCAAAGAAGGGTGACAAGAATGAAAAGGATTATTACATTGATTGGGATAGTTTACCTTAGAGAGGTGAGAAGGGGCATGATAAAGTTATAGAAAATAATGCATGGTGTACAGAAGATAAAACAGGAGTTTCTGTTCCCCCAGTGACATAACACGAGAACAATGGGACATTCAATACAATTGAAAAGTGGGAAAGTCAAAACTGATAAAAGGAGTACTTTTTCACTCAAAATGTGGATTAGACCAGGCACTTATTGCCACGTGATGTCACTGACTCCGAGAACAAAGTAACAGTCAAAGAGGGATTGGACAATTATAGGGGTAACAAGAATATCCAGATTTAGAATAGCTCATGCTAAAAGAGTTTAGAAAGGGATATAAAACATTATGCTTCAGGGTTTAAACCAATCTCTGACCAGTGGAAATTAGGATGAAGCCATCATGGGGGGGCAGTTCTATTCCTCATCTGCTTTCTGAAGGGGTTTCTTGCCTCGTCCTCTGAAGCACCTCATGCTAATGACTGAGACAGGACACTGGTCTAGATGGACCATTGTCTGAGCTACTATGGCAATTCCTATGTTCATATGTCCCTACTTTAGTCTCTGGAGCTCCCATGTCCCTTCTCCATGTGTGAAAAGCTCCATGTGTGAGCTGGAGCATCTGTATGATGGTGGATCCTCCTCCTCACCCTTCAACCCCAAAAGGCACTGCATACAGCCATGCAAAGAACCCTAAAACAGATGATCTCCATGATATGCAGAATATGTGAATGCTTTGAATTGGCTCTTGGCATTCTTCCCTTTCTTGCACATTATAACCAGAGTGGTTCCATTGTGTTGAGGGCTGTGTGCTGTCATGGAGGGAGGTAATAGATGTTGAGAAAGGCATGTTGGATTGTGCAGAGCTCTACCTCAGAGTATAGCAAGATTTTATCTGTTTTTATTGGTAGGCATGTGCATTTATTATTTTGTTGAGTTAATACAGAAAATATGCTAGCTTTCATAAAACGAAGGAAATTATAAGGAATTATTTGAATTAAGGTGGTCACCTTGCACACTAGAAGATGGTGGGTGTTCCAGTCAGACTAGCCATGTGGAGGAGAGCACAAAGATGAATGTGAGAAGAATAGTTTGAAAGCTTAGATCTTGCTATTGTTTGAATTCTCATTTCCCCTTGCTACAAATTGCATATCTTCCTTTGTCATTTATATCACCCTTGATTCAGTGTTTCCTACCTGCCATTTTCAGCTCAACAGCTGTTTTCTGTATTACGAAGGTACTGTAGGTATCTTCTAGCACACTTTGAGTGCTGTATATATTATAATAATAGGAAGCTTTTTTAAAGAAATCCCTCATATGATACAGGGGAATTAAAAATAGGATTGTTTAGAACAAAATTTTATGCGTGTGTATTACAGAAAATATAGAGCCTGATTCTACTATCCTTAGACACATGGAGTTTTACTAGTTCAGATTCCCATTTATTTCAGTGGGACTATTTCATAGTAAGATATATGTAGTAAATATGGTGGAATTACCATAGATAGTAAATATCTCTATCCCATTATGTTTACAATACACCCTGGCCAGAATTTTCAAAAGAGCTTAGCACCCACAGTTGGGTCCAAATATTCAGAAGGGCTCAGCTCACATTTAGGCACCACATTTAGGCCAGATTGTCTCATCCGATGCACTAAGCTGTTTCCAAAATCTGGTCCATAAGTGTCACAACAGGAATTGCTGGATGCTGACCACCTTTGAAAATCTGGCCCTGATTGTGGGAGAGGAGCAGGTGAAAATTTGGCCCCAGGTAAAATCCTCACCTTAGCCATTTTTCATAAAAGGCAAATGAAAGGACAAGTAGACAACAACTGTGGCTTTCAGTGCCATTAATGAAACCAAGAGACTGGGATGGGAATGCCAGTTCTAAAATATTATAGTTTAATTGCATTTTACCTCCCCTTCTTTCCCCATCCAAAAAAAAGCTGTAATAAGAAAACGGATAAATAAATTCCTATTTCTAGGACTATCTGTCCACTTTGTAAAGATGATGTGGTGCCTCAAATGATAAATATGTGATATTTTGATTTTAAAAGGTGTAAGTTCTCAAAAAATATATATTCAGTTTAGTGAGTTGAACATTATGTCCTTAACATTTTTCATCCTGAACTCATTTAGTGGAGGAAATGGATATTTCATCAGACACGGATTTGACGTTCCATCACATTATACAGTAAACAGTACAAATGGTGGGTTTTTTTAAATGGGGAAGCTGGAAAAGCTAAGACAGTAGCTGCTGCAAGGCACTGGTTATCTCATTTAAACAGATATTAAATGTGGGTGCCAGTGGTGTGATCATCAGCTGCTTCCCACTTTGTGAATAAATTGCTTAGAAGGAGTCTTTTGCCTACCAGATGTGACCTAGATTTAGATTTCCAAAGGCAAAAAAAAAAAGGTCTATTGTACAAAAAAACAATTGCTGGTAAAGCGTGTGGTAAATGAGCTTATCTCACTTTTCCAGGTGTTTAAGCTAATATGTTAGGGAATTACTGCTTCATTTTGGAAAAATAATTAAGGAAGATGTTCCAGCAAATCAAATTTGGATAAAGGCTTAGGATAGTTATTGTGGTGTTAGCAAATTTTTAAATGGCAGGAAGAACAGGGAGCCAACACAGATAATAAAAATACAGAAAATTGTATGTGTGAAGAAGGTCTTATAAAAGGGTCAGGTGTGGGTGTAGTATCCAGCTTGTGTTGTGGTTTAGCAAAATATTGTAGAACAATATGAACAATTACATTCCTTCCAGTATATATGAGACCTTTTTTTTTTAATCAAAGCGTTGCTGTCTGTCAGCTCTGATAATGCTTATTACTATGTATGTTAAATGTAACAGGAGAAGAAAGTGTAATGTCTTTATTCTTTTTCTCCCCTCCTCTTTTGAATCTGCTACCTTCATAGGAGCTGCTACTCGAAAACCAGACCCAGAGCCAGAGAAGGAGACAGACCATACTGTTAAAATCGCTGGAGTCATTGCAGGCATCTTGCTGTTCGTTATTATATTTCTGGGGGTTGTGTTGGTAATGAAGAAAAGGTGAGCAGTTAATATATGTTTTCTATGTGCATATTTGTGTCAGAGCATCTCCTACAGCAGTTTTCAGTGTGATTCAGGTAAATGTATCCAGCCACCGTGCTGCCCTTTACCACGGAGTTAAGGAAATGCTGCTTATTTTCCCTGAAGCCTTGTGGCATTTTATGAACTGTGCTATATGAATTTTTCCTCTTGCAGCGCTTTTTTGTGAATTAAGGGTTGTGGCTTTGTGATAAAGGAAAAACAACTGAAGGTTAATGATTCTAGCATTGTACGTATTACTACTGTATGATGGGCCCAAATAATGTAAGAACTGTACCTCTGTCCCAGAAGGGCAAGCCTCGTCTCTATCTAGCAGCTCAGCTGAAAGTTAGATATTATATGATTCCCCACAGAAATCTGAGTAAGTTGCCCATCTTGAATATAAAAGAAATGCTTGGTCTAAATAGAAAGGGGATGGGGGAGCTGAGATGAATTGTGGTGTGGATTAAGTCTATATTGTTCTGTGCAGATTTCATTCCATAAAAACAAATAAAACGGTTCTCTTGCAAAGACACTGGATGTTTCCAAAAGTAGGTTTAACACACATGCGTTTGGGTTTTGTGCTTTGGACATCATTAGAAAAGTGCTATAGCAATAGAGATAGCTGCCTGTTTTTTTAAATGGAAAACCCTGCTTCCTTTCTGAATATCATAACAGTGTAAAGTGTGGGGAAGGGAGAAAACTGCAAGTTTCTAGCAGCTTGGACATTGGAAGGCTGTTGCCTATGTTGGGGAAATTTCAGTAGTAAGCTAAATCAAAGTGTGACTATCTATTCTGAGGTATGAAAGAGTTTGCAGCTCTGGTGTTCGGGTTGGGGGTAGTTCAAGGAGTGGGTGAATAGGGTTTGGCAACTTGAAGACAGGTTGGACTGTGAATGTTTGTCCTTTGAGTGCTCATCCCTTACCCTTTCCTTCCAACCTTCCTTCACTTAACTTCCCTGGAACTTACCTCTGGCCTCCCAATCACAGTCCAGTGTTCCCTTTCTTAAAGGAAATTCAGGCCCACTTGTGCTGGCCCTACTGTGCTGCTTGTAGGCTGGTGATTGAACTGTGTGCATACCAGTAGTGTGTAATAGGTCTGGAGCACACTGAGCAATTGTGATCGTGCCAGGCTTGGAGCACCTCAGATGCACATTTAAATAGCTGGCAGGCAGGTCGTGCACTGGGTTCACAACACAGAGCCAGCTGGGTGCCAGTTTTCTTTAAGATAGAGGGAGGGGCAGTAGAGGGAAGAAGAAGGTCCTGGAAAGGGAATTGTGAGCTCCCCCAGTGGAGGGGGAGTGACCACTACAGAAACTAGACGAGGCAATGGGGGACCATCACAGAGAAGAGAGGAAATTTGAGTCCAATCTAAATAGTATCTGGGACACTGGAGCAGTCCTGGAAAATCCAGACATTCCCAGTAAACTCCAGGGTTTATAATCCTGTGTAGCAAGAGTACAATCTTTTCTGAAATGCAGTACCTTCTCCTTCCATACGTTTTAATTCTTTGCTGCAATCATACTTTCCATTTTAACCGCTCCAGACATAATGCTGGCATGCAGAGAGTATGGCGCTCCACATTGCTTTGCCAGTCCCGCATCACTTAATCCTGACCTACATGCAACACCCTTCTTAGTCCAGTTCTGAGCCTCTCCTGAGCCCAGATTCACACAATTTGTTAAAAAATGGCAAAGTGTAGAGTAATTCCAGTTAAGAGAGAGACTCCTGCAAAGGCTCTTCTTGCCTCCCAGGGAGAGCTACCCAGGAGCAAAGAAAGGGTTGCTAGGCTCCTGCTCCCTCCATAGTCTTTCTCCGAGCAGGCAAATATTGGTCCCTCAGCTGCTCCAGAGGTTGTTGCTTTGCTGTGGCCTTTTATAAGCCAATCCGTGGGCGGTGGGAAGGCTCCAGTCCCATGTAGTTGATGGCAGGTGTGGGTAGGGCACTTGGTTCTCTTCTCCCCCTTGACATCATTTGGGACAAATGTTCTTAGTGTTTGAGACATGTATTCTAGTGATTAAATGGAAACCACTAAGGCCTATTTACAGTAACCCTGTCCGGGAACTCTGTTACAAAATGTTGTCCCTTGACATTCTTAGAACACAGTTCTGTCTTGTAGTGTAGATGGGACTTACAGATAACTAATTTTTAACCATGTCCCTGAACCACACTGTAGCCTTGAACAGAGACTGTAGAGTACAGTTAGGACTCATCTACATTACAAGATGTAGCCAGCTTTTAACCAGATACGGGGATGATTGTGTTTTGTCCACGTCTCCTAACATATAGTTGTAGCATAGACAGGCCCTGAAATGGTTGCACTTATGACCCAAGTAAAACTTGAACCAGTTATTCAGTAGAGTAACAACTGACTATGCCACCTAGGGTCCCTGTGTTTCACCTAGGTTCAGTTGCTGTGTATACATTATGCATTCAAAGAGAATTTATAATTGTTTTGCAAGCTAAGTACAATTGTAATGTAAGGGCAATATCAGTATGTCATAAGTTTTATGGTACTTTAACTACTTCTGAGTGTAACAAACTTATCAATATTGTACCATGTGATGGTTATACTTCTTGATAATTGGGAATCAGTTACTTAACTAAGTAATGACTTAACTAAGTCCTGAGACTGTGTCCAAAAATAGTACCTCGCATTTCTGTGGAATTTTGCATCCAAGAACCCCAAAAGCACTTCATACCCTATATTAATTAAATCTCCCAATACTCCTCTAAAGTGGTTCTTAATTATTATTCTCATTTTACAAACTGAGGCACAGAGAAATTAAGTGACCTACCCAAGAGCATATAAGGAATCTGCAGCAAAGCTAGGAATAGTGCCTAGACTGTTGTCTCCTAGTTTGATGCGCCAACCACTAAACCCTTCTTCCAGCATAAAGATGCCGGTTGCTCTAATGGCTATTACAGTGGGTGGAGGGACTTGGATCATTTTATCAATTTACAGTGATGTCCGCAAAATCAGAATCAGGTCTGTGGCGTGATCTGCTCTCAAATATGATCTGTCTGTCTCACTTAAGACTTGGTCCAAAGCCCATTGAAGTCCGTAGGAGTCTTTCAATTGACTTGAATGGAATTTGAACCTAGCCCTCATTGAACAGTTTCAAGCAACTTACCCAGTTTCCCCCTGCCTCCAACATTCCTGCATTGAAAATTGCAGGACCTCACTGACAACTGCATGCATAAAGAAAGTTTTGCTTTCATTGGCAAATTATAAAAACAACAACAGTGGAATGAAAGTGATAGCAATATTCCTGTAATGTTTGGTAAACAATAACAATAAATGGGAGTGCTTTCCAAAATTGTATTAAGGCTCTTGGATAATAGCGGGGAAGGGGGAGGGGTGGATAGATAGATAAAAGGCATAATTCAATCTACTGTATTGTCTATCTGTTCTTTTCTTTTTTTTTTAATTATTGTTATTTCAATTAAGTTTCCAAAAAGTTTGGAGGTTGAAAAATTCGATTTAACGGGAGAGGTTTGCTTGAGGGTATGTTCATTTGGGATGCAGCAGTTCCAATTTGTGCTACGGGCGTTCAGTAAACCAGTGGCTATTAATATTTGATTTTGTCAGAAACTGCCTCAGTTTTCCACAACCATAAAGGGTTGTTTTCTTGTGTGCTTCTTTTGTTTTTGCTCTGCGTCACATATACACCTGAGCCTTCGAATAGTTTCTAATGTATGTATCTGTTTAAATGGGTAAGGAATGCTTAGCGCTACTCAGGAATGCCCTTTCCACTCGCTGGTGCTGAGCTTGCAGCGCATTAGTCCAGGGGTTCTCAACCTTTTTCTTTCTGAGCCCTTCCTTCCGCCCCCAACATGCCATAAAAACTCCACGGCCCACAACAACTGTTTTTCTGCATCTGAAAGCCAGGGCCGGTGTTAGGGGGGTAGCAAGCAGGGAAATTTCCCAGGGCCCCACACCATAAGGGGCCACACAAAGCTGTGTTGCTCAGGCTTCAGCTTCAGCCCCCAGTGGTGGGGCTTGCGGCCCTGGGCTGCAGTCCCACGTGGCGGGGCTTTGGCTTTCTGCCTTGGGCCCCAGCGAGTGTAATACCAGCCATGCTGAAACCTGCTCGTGGTCCCCCAGGGGCTACGGACCCCTGGTTGAGAACAACTGCACTAGTCCACTCCCTTGATGTAGCTCAGATTGTTCTAATTTCCACCTGCTGCCAACATTTCCCAACAGTCAGCATGGAAACAAGGGGAAGACCCAACCAGGCCCTCTTTTCCCTTTGCCATGCCCTCTATGCCAGCTGCAGAAGAGGGGTGGTGCAGAAGCCAGTATACTAACTATGGCACCTGGGTTAACCTCCACTTATAAAACATGCCAAAGGACCTATCCACGTATATAAAAAGTAAAATGGAACTCAGTTTTTAAGGTTGCATTTCTAAAACTAAGATTTTTCCAAAGCATGGACAGTGTCTTTGCTAAATGATCTGTTTTTGTAAGTCTTAGTTTTCTATTTCTTAAATTACCCAGGTTTAGAACATTATATTTTTATAACAAATTTTCTCTTTGCAGAACCTCAGAATTATTGGGAATTTAAAACTATAGAATCTAATTTTCAAGGAGTCTCACCTGAAACCTCTTGATCATATTATAAGAACTCAATATAAAAATAACTTGAACATGAGACATTTAATTTTTCTCCTGTTATATCAAATTGTAATTTAATGTATTCACACAAATTAAAGCACCTGAGTTTTCAACATTTTTAAAACAGCATAATTTATCTCAATAACATGTTTGGCAGAATTATGCGTACAAGAACCAGCCGTGCTGCACTGATTAATTATATTTATTGTTGTTTCTAAAATTGCTATACATCTTTTAGATGTATGAGAACATTTGTACTAATTACATTAAATCTCTGTCGTGGCAACATATGGCAAGGAATAGGGTTTGCGGTGTCATGAGATTCTAAATGGGAGCTAGAGAATGAGTAATTTCTGAAAAGAGAAGGAAAAAAAAGATAATTATGATTAGACCACATACCAAAACAACCTCCTCCCAACATAATATAAGTAAACAGAACCGTTTTCATACAGCCCAGTCCTGCACCCCTCCTGCAGGCACTGAATGTAGTAGAAGATATACCTGAGTAAGGAGTGCACGATTTTATCCATAGCCTTCCTGTTACCGTATTCTTGGCTCTTTTTTTAAATCCAATTTTAACAGGTGTGCATTTTTTGCAAATGTGCCACATCTGATTAAATATTAAATACCTAGCCTTTTGTGTTTAAACAATACTTTTAAGTATCAGAAAAATGGGAATAAAAACTGGAAAATATTTCTGAAGGCATCCTCAAACAAAGAAGATGAGAGAGAAAATGTGATGAAAGCCTAGTTTTCAAAGGGATGCCTGCAGCATGTAGCCTAAGGCAAGTTAGCATTAATGGTAGTCCTTTGCCGGGCCTGTTTACAAGTTTTTGCTGTAGTCAAAGCGCTGTAGCTGTGTGCTGTGAGAATTACAGATGCCTACCCAGTTTATTTCCGTCTTTTATCTTACCAGTATATTAACATTATTTGTAGCTATGGCGAGGTGATGGTTTTGGAGAATTAGCTTCTTTTTAATTAGAATCAATATTTTGTATCTGACCAGGGTGAAATTCATCCCTTTGCGGAGGGCTTTGCCCCTCCCCGCTTCAGGATCAGGGAGGGAGAGAGGTTCAGCAGCAGGCGGAGCAGCTGGGCAGGAGGCCCTGTGCACTCTGTCCATTGCAGCAGTGGGTTCCTCACTGGCTCTGAATGTGCTGAAGTGGAGGGAATCATTGTGAGGGAGCTCAGGTAGGAAAGAGTACTGGGTCCATGCTTACATGGATGAAGAGGTTTGGGATCCAAGTGGCCTTTTGTAGTATTCCCAGGGGCAAAAATAGTAGAAGTGCAGGATTCTACCCACAGCCTGGGGATGGATTCTATAGTCTCACCACCAGCAAACCTCCACTGTGATCCCTGACTATAGCCCTTTTACTTGGGGAAAGAGTGAATTTCAATCTTTGTGAAGTAATCTAACCAAGGTTTCTTCTGCAATGAAATGCCTAATGAAAAGTGAAAACATACTTCGAGAGTTTGTTTGGCTTTCTGGAAACAAGTTTTGGGTGACAATCTAGGGTAATCATATCCATGGTAGGTTAAGTTTTAATGTCTCTAAGGAACGAGAGCAACTAGACAGAGCCTCCAAAAAAACTCCACAGGAAGAGAAGCTACTTAATAAGCATTCTAAGACTTTTAATTCCTACACTTCTAACTAATGCAGTAGAGATGTCGTGTCCTTCCTAAACCAATTAATACAATGTGAAATAAAATCATGTTTACGTGTGTGTGTGTTTGTGTATGTATTATATGGATGAATATGATACATAACTATTATGTTACTTAGCTTTTACACTTGTTTTAAACTGTCAAATTTAACATTTCAGTGAGGTATTATGTATTTTACTGCTTAAAATTTTTTGTAGATTTATGTCATATCTGGAATGGACAGATATTGCATGATATGCCTCAGATGCATTTGTACTACCTTTCATTTGTGTCACCACTTCTGGTCTCAGTTCATCTTGATTTTTCATACATTAATATTTGGCTTTTCTTTCCTTCCATTTCATCTTTTCCACCACTGCCTAAATCCTTCCACCATCATGGCAGAAGAAGCTATCACTCCTACACTTATTACCTGTAAGTAACTTCTTTGTGCATCATCAGAGACATGCTTTCTGCCATGTTGTTCCATGTGTGAGTAGTGAATGCTCATGATGGAACTTCCTTTGTGAAAGTCAAACACTTTGAAGTTTTACAGTGCTAAAAACAACATGGTTAATAATTTCATGTCATTTTAAGCAATTTCAGAGGAACAGCCGTGTTAGTCTGTATTCGCAAAAAGAAAAGGAGGACTTGTGGCACCTTAGAGACTAACCAATTTATTTGAGCATGAGCTTTCGTGAGCTACAGCTCACTTCATCAGATGTGTACCGTGGAAACTGCAGCAGACTTTATATACACACAGAGAATATGAAACAATACCTCCTCCCACCCCACTGTCCTGCTGGTAATAGCTTATCTAAAGTGATCAACAGGTGGGCCATTTCCAGCACAAATCCAGGTTTTCTCACCCTCCACCCCCCCACACAAATTCACTCTCCTGCTGGTGCTAGCCCATCTAAACTGAGAGTGGTCAGTTTAGATGAGCTATTACCAGCAGGAGAGTGAGTTTGTGTGTGTATGGGGGTGGGGGGATGTGAGAAAACCTGGATCTATGCAGGAAATAGCCCGACTTGATTATGTAAAGAGTTGTCACTTTGGATGGGCTAGCACCAGCAGGAGAGTGAATTTGTGTGGCGGGGTGGAGGGGGTGGATTTGTGCTGGAAATGGCCCACCTGTTGATCACTTTAGATAAGCTATTACCAGCAGGACAGTGGGGTGGGAGGAGGTATTGTTTCATATTCTCTGTGTGTATATAAAGTCTGCTGCAGTTTCCACGGTACACATCTGATGAAGTGAGCTGTAGCTCACGAAAGCTCATGCTCAAATAAATTGGTTAGTCTCTAAGGTGCCACAAGTTCTCCTTTTCTTTAAGCAATTTGATATTTTCTTATGGTTTCCTTTGCCTCATACTGTGTGTTTCAGTATTTTTGAATACAGTAATGTGATTAATTTTTTAAATTGAAAAATAGTGGTAGGCATCATAAATCTCACTGGCATTTTACAAATATTTTTGGAAGACAAATTCTTTTTAGGACTGATTTAGGGTTTTCCTTCTCATTTGTCCTGCCCAAAATATTGTGATGTTTAGACACGTGTACACGGATTTGCATCCATTTGCTCTGCACATTTTCCTTTTATTTCATAAATAAAGATGGTGCATAAATGTCATGAGTTGCCATTGTCTCAGTGGATCTAAAAGGCACAATATTGATTTAACAGGAAGTGTATGGGCCTCAGGAAGTATACGGGCCTGCAGAAAGATAGTTTTCTGTATATAAAGATGTTTTGATGCAGTCTTTAATAGTGTAATCACATAATACTTTTTTTCACAGGACCCCTGTTTCATTCATTGCATCCAGTGAATGGTGAATGAGATAAGGTTGTGCAGTGCATGAGGCATGGCCTGTAGGAATTTTGACTCATTCTCAGCAGAGGTTGGAAGGTGTGTGTATTGAATGAATCAGAGGGCAGTTGGATGGTCTGGTTATTAAGGCACAGGTTAAGACTGAAGAGACTGGATTATATCTTCCTGTGATGCTGGGCAAGTTGCTTAAACCATAATTTTTGGAGACTGTCAATAAATCTGTGTTTTTCAGGTACCCAATTTGAGACATGTGGGGCCTGATTTTCAAAGTGCTCAACACTCCGCACTCAAATTGAAACAAAGTACCCAACTCAGCACCTTTGAAAAAAGCCTTAGGTGTCTGAAGCTGGGCACTAGCTGAGGTACCCAAAATTAGTGGACTCTTCAACAAATTTTGGCCTAAACCTCTCTCTGCCTCAGCTCTCCATCTGTAAAATGGGAATAAAAATAATACTTTCTATCTCACAGGAGAGTTTTGAAAATAAATTCATAAATACTTGTAAGATATTCAGATATTACAGAGATGAGCACAATAGAAGAGTTCATGGGGAAATTAAAAAAAAATCTGTATTCTATGCAGGGAATGCAGAGGACAGAAAGAAATGCTGAACTGCTGCTTCATTCACTGAGCATCCTGTACATTAATGGATGCAGGGGATTTGTGCTTAAAATATTATGTAACTATGTAATTAAAGATTGTATCATAATACACACAAATTGCATAATTCTGTCATTACCTAACTTCCAAATGCTTTACTTTGCAATCCTAATTACGATCTTTCAACAGTTTTTGGTATGAAAATAAGCACACTTGTGATGTACAGTGTGTATAATAGAAATTTAGTACACACGTATGTCTGGTTGGGTTTACAAGTATATATGAATTACTTAAAAGAGGGATTAAAGATGGGACCACTCTCAAAGATGGTAAGCCAAAATTATTATTACTTATTATTTTACCTCCAAGTGTGCCAGGCCCTTGGCAAAAGGCACACAAGAGATACATTGCTATCCCAAAGATTTTACAAGCCCTGATTCTGTAACTGGGCCCATGCAGGCAGACCCTTGTGTCCACATAGCTCCAATTTCAGAATAAGGACAAGTGAGGATATAATATACACACAGAGGGACAGTATGGGTATATTATGGATATATGTTTGGGTGATTACTCAGCTTAGCCATATGTATGTCATGACTGAAAAGGAGTACTTGTGGCACCTTAGAGACTAACCAATTTATTTGAGCATAAGCTTTCGTGAGCTACAGCTCACTTCATCGGATGCAAACTGTGGAAAGTGTAGAAGATCTTTTTATACACACAAAGCATGAAAAAATACCTCCCCCCACCCCACTCTCCTGCTGGTAATAGCTTATCTAAAGTGATCACTCTCCTTACAATGTGTATGAGTGCTGGAAATGGCCCAACTTGATTATCATACACATTGTAAGGAGAGTGATCACTTTAGATAAGCTATTACCAGCAGGAGAGTGGGGTGGGGGAAGGTATTTTTTCATGCTTTGTGTGTATAAAAAGATCTTCTACACTTTCCACAGTTTGCATCCGATGAAGTGAGCTGTAGCTCACGAAAGCTTATGCTCAAATAAATTGGTTAGTCTCTAAGGTGCCACAAGTACTCCTTTTCTTTTTGCGAATACAGACTAACACGGCTGTTACTCTGAAATATGTCATGATTGTTCATATATTTGCTTGTAACCCACAAATGTATGTAGGCTCTGCTGCTGAAGTCGGTTTTTAGACTTTAGAAAATGTTGACCTTGAAATTGTCCATGTAAGACCTAGTTTCCTGCCATGTTGTTTTCTTTTATGTTCATACGCAGTACAGAAATGTATGTAGAGAAAAGTGAGCACTGGGAAAGGACCAAATTGTACACTGCTTTACAGCATACATAACTCCCACTGAAATCAGTGGGTTGCAAGTCAATACTGAATTTGCCATTTTTCTTAACTGATCTAGGAAAGTGGAAGTACATATGAATTTTAGCACATGGTTTATTTTTAAAAGAGTCCTCCAAGAATCTGAGTTGAAATATGGTGCCATCCTTAAGTTATCATCAGTGTTCTGGGCATCATATTAAAGCTGCTGTTAGTGATTAGACATTGCAAGCATAGGATGTGACATCCAGCCAGTTACATCATCCAGGAACCTATGTACTAAAATAGATATCATTGTCTTGCATGCAGCAAAGTTTCCTAGTGTGCTGGGGCTCTCTCTTCCTAATGGCCTGCCACCTCTAAAACTATTCTAATATTTTTCAAAAATTGGCAGATAACTTGCACTGCTGCTGGATTATCAGAGGAGTTAGCTACAGCTGTGCATATTTGACACACAACTATATCATTTTATCTTGTATTTGCTAGGTAGCCAGTCAAGAGATGTCACACAGGAAGGAGTTGAGCACTGCCATTAATAATAATCTTTCTCCATAATAGCTTTGGTGCTTATGCCAGAGCCATTCCTCCCATTATTCTCTTGGCCAAGTCACTATTGTATACCATTCACCACAATCAGGGAGCAGATTGTTTGGGCTGGAAGCAAGCCGTTAAGTCTGTGAGTTCTTTTGTTCATAAAATTACAGAAAATTCCATAGTAGTTAACTTTGCAGCAGTTCTCTGGACTTAACTGTTTATTCCATGTGGGAGAAGTAAGAATAGATAAGCTGCTGTTAGTGATGTTCATGTATAATGACTGGTTTCCTCAAGATGACAACCAGCACAGACATAATTCTGTTTTCTCCTGACATGATTTGATGGACAGAACCCCGGTGACATTGGTGAGAGCAGTAAAATTACATTAGTAGCTTATTATGTAACTCCAGTTTAGCTGATGAACTAGAAAAGCCTGTAGATCATGTAAGAACAGTGTCCCATTGTTCTGGCCATAACCATGAACTTTTTAAAAGCCTTTCATTTTGTTTGAGATTAGACCAAGGCCATATCTATCCTCTGAGTTTAGCAATAGTGGCCAGAAGCCAGGATAACTGCACTGGTGCAAACCCAGCAGTAGGTAAGGAAAACTGTTGCGTTTACCCCAGTTTCTGGCTACTGACTGATTAACTGGGGATAGTCTCAAGTATAGATGAGGCCTGAGCTTGGGGACAGAGTAGTAACTGATTGCACTAACCAACTGCAATGAGTTAGGAAGATATAACATCACCAGGTAGCCACAGATAAAATGTGTTCAAAATTCAAATGACAGGGTTGCAAAGGCAAAGTTTCTTGTGGTTGTCCACTAGGTTGAGATTAATATCTGAGATGATTTGTTGTGAAAGTGATTTTAAATTTAAATTTACTCAACATGATTACATAGCACTGGATGGTTGGGGTTTTTTGGTTTCTTGCTAAGAACTGTGCCTTATCACAAGTCATTTCTGATATTGTAGGTAAATGGAAATAAAATATTTTCCCAATGTGCCTAAAATGCAAATCATGCCGGGCTTTAGATATTAGGCCAGTGATTTTCAGCTTATGGGGCATGACCTAAAAATGAATTGCAAGGGTTGAAAACAAAATATAAAACAAACCAACAAAAAAGAAGAAGCAGTATTAACACCTCCAAGAACTCAAAAATTGTAAGTCAAACCTCCCCC